TTAAGTAATAGAATAATAAAATAGAAGTGAGCAGATGGTATCTTGAACATAGAGGGACACAATTCAAACTGGAAAATGAAGGGAGACTTTTGGTGGAAAAGAGCTGAGAGTTAAAAGATAAAACAGTCAACAAAGTCAAAGTTTGAAAGGCTTTTTCCACCAGAGAATGCTCAAGGAAGAGGCCTGAAGGAATTGAAACAGTATGGCATTTGCAGAGAAACAAATAACTTGTCAATCATAATAAAGGGAGTACTTTTTTGGGGATATGGCTAGAAAGCAATTAGGAAGCCAAGGGATATGGGCTTTGTCTTAAAACAGTCTTTAACCTGAAGGTGGTGAGGAATCATTTAAGAGTCATTTTGGACAGGGAGCAACATAGACAGATGTGGCTTTTACATTATTTTTACAAAGGGTGGAAATTTTGGAAGCCGAGAGTTCAATTTATAGGCTACTGCAATAGTCCTAGCCGAGAGATGAAGACAATAGCAAGAACAGAGTAAGGAAATTCTTAGGAATATTTGGGTGGGCCAGTGATAAGAAATTAAAGCCCTGTTTAATTTGCGGATTTAGACAATTCAAGGTCACTTATGTTAAACTTTTCTCCTTCTGAACCATATTTACATTCATATCAATTACCCAGAGCTATTTGAAAACATAAAATTATCTTTTAGTTCAGTATAAAATTCTAACGTAATGAATGGCTTTTCAAAAATTTTGTACCACGGAACTCAATTTGTTGAATTTGGAGGCAATAAAAAAAAAATCCATAAGCTAACATTAAGTCCTTTTCTAATTAGGTTTTTTACCTTTATTCATGCCATCGAAGATTGTTTTCAGTTCTCTATTCCAGCATGGTGCTGACACATACAACTCTCACCATAAAAATCTTTGCATATTTAATCAGGATGTTCTTTGCCTACATGGGATTCTTCCTCAGCCATCTTAAGTAATTTGAGGCCCTGAGGCATTTCCATGAGACTCAGATAGTTGAGCTTTTGCCAAAAGTGACTTTCAGCCTCTAATCTTCCCAGAACTCCCCCTAAGCTTCGATCAGTGAATTGCAAATACGAAAGAAATAGACTGGACTAAAGTTCTTATTTCGGAAAGAAGGTTGGGCAATCCTACTTCCGTAGTGATACTGCCTCGGAAACCCAAGGAGGGGTCTCTATGAGTTGGGGCTGACTCGACAGCACATAACAACACAACAACAAAGTTCTTATTGGGAAGAATGTCTTTGAGAAGCACTGTTTGTTCTGATCTCTTGGCTGAGAAGGCTGGGGGAAGAAGATAGTTCTCTACCCATACTGGTAGGAGATGGGAAGTGATGCCAGTGTCTAATTATGGGTCAGCCTAAAACAACTTGGTGCTGATGGTATTAACTGTCTAGTGAATGTTCAAATTCTCTGAATTTCCATGACAAGGCTAGTGAGAACAGTATATTAAAAACACAGTTGTCCTTGAGTTGGTTTGACTCATGGCAGCCCATGTGTGTCAGAGTGGAACTGTGCCCCTTTGGGTTTCCAATGGCTGATTTTTGGAAGTAGATCATTAGACCTGTCTTCCACGATGCCTCCGGATAGACTCAAACCTTCAACCATTCAGTTAGCAGCTGAGGACTTTAAATACTTCCATTGGCACCACCCAAGGACTCCAAAAACACCATGTTGTTGTTGTTATATGCCGTCTAGTCGGACCTGACTCATAGCGACCCCTCCTTGGGTTGCCGAGGCAGTATCACTACAGAAGTAGATTGCCCAACCTTCCTTCCGAGGAGTGGCTGGTGGGTTTGAACCGCCAGCCTTCTGGTTAGCAGTCAAGTGCCTTAGGCACTACGCTACCAGAGCTCCCAATAGACCATCCATAATGTGCCATTCCTGCAGCCCAGCTCCTAGACAGCAAGTTATACATTACAATTTAGCCACATGGTCATAAAAAGAGAGCCAGACCACAGAAGCCAGATCATCAGGCAAACGTGTCTCCTGGTTACTTCTAATCATGTTCTAATTAGACACCAGACTTCATCTCCATTATATTATCATGGTTTTTGATGATAAGCTCATTTGGGCTTGACTACTTGCTGGGAAATTGTATTTCCACCCCGGATATACTGAATCTAAAAGAATCTACATTTTAACATGATCCCCAGGTGATTCTTAGGTTTATCTAGGGATCTATATGAATCACCTAAGGATCGTGTTAATTGTTAAAAGACAGATTCTGATTCAGTTCCTATATCTGCAGTAGAAACACAAATTTCAGAGGGTCGAACTGGAATGAACTACTTTGAAGCCCTGCTTTGATCATCTCTACCAAATCTTCCTGAGTTCCAGCTGTATGCAGGACACTGTGCTAAGGTCAAAGAGGGTTTACAAGAGGGTTCCAATAGTACTAATTGGACACTTTCTAAGGGCCAGGTCCTTTCCCAGACACCAAGATGCAAGATGATTTCACATGGGCCCCGGTGCTTCTGGAATTCAGTCTAGTGTGGAGACATCCAAATGGATAATTGTATATCCTACAATGGGTTAAGTCCAGGAGCAGAATGAGAGCTCAAGGCAGGATCAAACAACTCTGCTTTTGAAGGCTTACCAGAGAAGGAGACTTTGGATATGGGTTCCCAAAGAATGAGTTTCAAAAGTCCAGAAGTGAGGAAGAGGAAGTTCACAGTGTGTTGGGAGGCCCCATAGGCTCCTATGTTTTGCTCTTGACATACACACCTGAGAGCCAAAGGGGTGGTCTCACTTAGGTAAGGATGATGGTAATGTGGTGGGGCCCACATGATTGCTGGTTGGTGAGGTCAAAAAGAGGCTTTTGGGAAGTGAATACCACACCAAAGAATTGGCCACATTTTGAGGCAGCTTCCTTCCTCTTCCCTTTCAGCCTTCTAGGCAGGGGTGATTTCCCCAATCCTAGCTTTCCACATTCCAATACGAAATCACTTAGACAAGGAGCTCTTATTTTGGCAGGCTTTTTTTAACATTTATTTAAGCAATTGGTTTTCAAATTTTGATATTCGGAAGAATCCCAAATCTCAAAAGTATGGCCCCAGATCAGCAACATTAGCATCACCTGGGAACTTGTTAGAAATGCACATTTTAGGTTCCACTTCAGACCTACTTAATCAGAAACTCTGGAGAAGGGGCCCAGTGACCTGAGTCTTAACAAGCCTTGATTCTGATGCAGCTCAAGTTTGAAAACCACTGACTCAGGGAACTCATTACAAATGTAGGTTCCTGAACACCACTCACAGAGATTTTGATTTGTGGTAATCAAGCATGTCACCAATCATTATAGCACCTCCATGGGCCATACCCTTTCAATCCCACCCCTAAGTAGGCCTCAGGCTATAGAGATTCTTTCCTGACAATTTCCTCCATATTATTAGGGGCTCTTGGTCCTGGTATTTATTCAACTCCTAGCTATGCCATTTCCCATGTGACAACCTGTGACTGCATCTGTAAATGAGAGTAGTAATACGAGCTCTGCAGGCTTGTCAGGACTAGAGATGATGTGTGTGAAGCATCTGATTTAGCACTGGAAATTTGAGAGCACCCCCAAAACTGGGGGTGGTCATAACTTCCAGGCCCTAGTATCCAGGACCCAATTCTCCTTTAGCTTCAGAATGGTTATGGACTAATCAGAAAAAATCACCCCTGAACGTTTTTGATAGTCTGTGGGTGCCCTTCTTGAATCAAAACGGAGTACATCAACTCTGGAAAGTGTGCAGAGAATATGCCATGAAGGAGATTGTGAGCACAGTTACCTCTTTTCCCTGCCTCAGGGCCAGCTAGAATCTGCACCATTTGGGTTCCTTCAAGTACTAATTGTTCCTTCTGCCCCTTCCCTGCCTATAATACACCTGCACATGATTCCACCTGCAGCCTGTCCCCCATCACAAGGCCTCCAGTGGGGATACAGACTCATATATGAGAGTATTGGGTGGCAGAAATCCATCCTGTGTAGATTGGAATGCTTGAAGTAATGCCGTGTAAGATACCTCCCAAACCTAGGAGGCTTGGCTCCACCTAGTATTGCTTAACCAGAAGCCCAAAAGATGGCTCTAAAGTCTTTGCCAGCAAATGTGCCTTAGGAAATGTCATTCTTTAGCCATTTATCCCCTTCATGACCCAATTTAAATGGATGCTCTTCTTAGAATACACCCAGAATATCGAGGCTGCCTTAAAGAATGTAATCATGGAATACAATCTAGTCCCCTCTTTTGATATGGGGTGATGTCTTAGGTCTTTATATCTTTAAGTTTGTTTCAAATGATGCTATTTAGATCAGGCCTATGGAGCTAGAGATAATCTCAATCAATCTCCTTCTCTCTCTCTCTCTCTC